TGCTATGATGGATGTGTTGTCCCAGTCGAATGCGTGTCCTTCTTTGTCCGTGTGTATTGAGACCAGTGAGAATTGGTCGTGTGTCTTCATGGCTAGTTGGTGTTTGTGTATCCTTATTATCAGTTTTCTGCCAGTTTGGCCTATGTAATGTTTCTCACAGTCCTTGCATGGTATATTTTGTATATTACTTTGGTTTTATTGGTTATGGGTATGGGATCCTTTATGTTCTTCAGTAGCTGTTGCAGGATGGTTGTTGGTTTGTGGGAAACCCTGATACCTAGGGGTCTGAGTAGTCTTGTGGTTATCTCTGATGTGTCATTGATGTACGGTAGGGTGACTAGTGTGTCTGGCCGTGTTGTGTCTTCTTGTTGTGGTCTGTCTCAGAGGTAACAGTGGAATATGCTTTTTGGGTATCCATTCCTTTTAAAAACTCCGTATAAGTGCTCCTGTTCTGTTTTGCGTAATTCCGGGTTGCTGCAGTGTGTTGTGGCTTGTTTAAATAATGTTCTGATGCAGCTCCGTTTATGGGTGTTGGGGTGGTTGCTGGTGTAATTAAGTACCTGGTCCGTATGTGTGGTCTTTCTGTGTACGCTAGTCTGGAGTTCCCTGTTGTTCTTACGTTCTACCGTTATGTCTGGGAAGGGTAGTTGGAAGGTTCTCTTCTTCTTTTGTGAATTTTATTCCAGAGAGGATGTTGTTTATGTGTTAGTGGATTTTTTCTATTCTCGTGCATTTGATAATCATGAAGGTGTCTTCTACATAGCGGACCCAGAGTTTGGGTTGGATAGTGGGGAGTGCTATCCGTTCTAATCTTTGCATTACCACTTCTGCAATCAGTCCTGATATTGGGAATCCCATTGGTGTTCCATTGATTTGTTTGTATATGCCGGCGTTGAAGGTGAAGTGGGTTGTGAGTCACAGATCCAGCAGTTTCAGGGTGCTGTCCTTGTTGATGCTGTTGGTGTCATGGGGTGCCTGCCTTCCTGATTCGTCCAGTAGTGTGGCACTGATCTCTTTGGCTCGGTCGGTGTTTATGGATATAAATAATGCTATTACGTCGAAGGATATCGTCATCTCATCCTCTTCTATCCTGGTGGCCTTGATGTTGAAGAATTCTTGGGAGGAGGGGTAGTGTTGTTAACGAAGTATTTCAGTTTCCGTTGTAGATCTTTGGCTAACTTATATGTTGGTGTGCCTGGTAGTGAGACACTGGGTCTGAGGGGGACCCCTGGCTTGTTTACCTTAGGGAGTCCATAGAAGTGGGGTGTGCTGGAGCCCTCTGGCTTCATTTTTTGGTAGCCTGTCTTGCTGATACCTCCTGAGCCGGTAATTTCTTCAGGGTTGTTGTAATCTGGTTCCCGAACTGTGGTGTTGGGTCTATCGCCATCTGTTGGTAGGTGTCAGTATCTGCTAGTAGTGCGTTACTGTATTAGATTTATTAAGGATGACTGTCATGCGTTCTAAGTCATACTCTCGGATTGATCTATTACTATCCTACATTGGTTCCCAGTTAAACAACATTTAGATTTGTAGATTTTGATTCATATTTTCAAATCCCTCCATAGTATCACCCTTTCCCAATCACTTTAGCCTCCTCCAGCCCCTACACCCCCTCCCTATCCCTGTAACCTCCTCCAGCCCCTACACCCCACCTATCTCTGTAACCTCCTCCAGCCGCTTCACACCTCCCTATCCCTGTAATTTCCTCCAGCCCCTACACCCCTCCCTATCTCTGTAACCTCCTCCAGCCCCTACACCCCTCCCTATCCCTGCAACCTCCTCCAGCCCCTACGCCCCTCCCTATCCCTGTAACCTCCTTCAGCTGCCACAGCCCTCCCTATCTCTATAACCTCCTCCAAACCCGACACCCCCTCCCTATCCCGACACCCCCTCCCTATCCCTGTAACCTCCTTCAGCTGCCACAGCCCTCCCTATCCCTGCAACCTCCTCCAGCCACTACACCCCTCCCTATCTCTGCAACCTCCTCCAGCCCCTACACCCTTCCCTATCTCTGCAACCTCCTCCAGCCCCTACACACTTCCCTATCCC